TTCCAATGGTATCCAAATTCGGCGGTTTGGGTGGCCGAAAGTCGTCGAATTTTCAGTGCATTTTTAGGTGGGGAAAATTAGGTTTAGGTTGTATTTTCAATTTTTTTTTTACTAAACAAGATATGAAGAAAAGGAAAAAAGGATAGGGTTTCTCAATTAATTGTTTAATGAAAATATAAGAAAAATAAGCTTTAAATAACCTTGATTCTCCATACAAAGAGAGGCTTTTTATACTAATTTGGCCAACGTGGTGACCGTTGGATCAGATCCACGTGGTGACATCTCCTAGACCGAAACCTCACATCGCCATCAACTCTTTACAATTAATGTTTGGCAAAAGGTCCGCCGTTCTATTTGTAGGCTGACATGCTCTACTGCAGACGTTACATCAATCACTTCTAAAAGATCTTCAAATCTGTAATGAGAAGTAGCGTCGACTTCAGTTTGGATTGGGGTTAGTCTCTGTTGAAGGATTTCTGACGCCATAGGGCTTCAAACAGCTTAGAGGAACCTCTGATCCATGCGTGAGAGCTTTGGTATTTTCGGGGTTTGATAAGCCTCAGCATCTGCATGAAAAGGGCCTCGGAGAGAACTCTTGCTGGCACTAAAAGGCCCTGGACATTAAAAAGACCTTGGACACCAACTCCTTTCTTTGACCTTGACTTAGTACGTCACATCTCCTGACTTTCCAGCTAAGCGCTTGCGTGGCCATCTACGCAGACTGCTACTTATGTGGCCGTCTACGTGGTGATCTGATCTGGGACTTCTGATTTGAAGGGTAACATATATGATTGTTATGTTTTAATGCATTTATATATTGATTGAAGAATTTTTAATATTATATGTCAAAATTTAGGAAGTAAAAATTTTTATACAATCAACGGTGTTATAAATTTTGGCTCTTTATTTTGCTTTTATTCAATAAACATTTATTGTTTTCCTCTTATCTTTTACTTAACATATTCTTTTCAGATGACCGCTAATTGAAACATGTTTGAATAATTTGAGAAATAAAGTATTGAAATCTTTAATTTATTAAATTTAATCATTAAAATATAATAATAGAGAGCGAGTTTACAACTCTAAATTCATTTCTTATTTTTAAAAAGTTAAAATGAGGAGTCTTTTAAAATTTATTTGTACACATGGACTGTATAAAATATAGAGCATCTTAATGCTTTTAGTAACACATTTTGAGAAACAAAGAAATAATATATACTCATAGATGTTTCTTGTGTTTGGTTGGTGTTGAATAAAACTTCGAATAAACTGTTACGAGTTTATGATTCCTATGACAAGTAAAGGTGGAATTATGGTTCAACCAGTACAATTTACTCGTAGACAGAATGGATGACCCGCCCCGTAATGGGCTAATCTGCACCAATTTGGTATGAGCTCTGCTACGTATACAATTGAGGTTGACAACCACTCACATGGAAGGGTCCA